GCATATATCATATATGGCGTTATTGGTTGATAATAAAGTGGGTGATGAGGGGGGTAGGGGGGTTAGCCGTTTTCAAAGATCTTATCACATGATCGCCACGGGGGCCCTTATTCATGGTGGGCTCTTATACATGAGTTTACGGTAATTGAGTGTACTTTTGAATAATAAAAATATTTAACAATTATCATTATTATATATTAATCTCACATGTAGCATGTGTTGGGTTAGAATATGAAAGTATATTTTTATATGTATAGCATATACTTATCATTTTATTACATTTTATCTAATTACAACTTTATTGTAATAATGTGTTAAATTTTACTGTTATTTTTTCAAACAACCCAGTCAATTAGTTTTAAAACTATATAAAAATTATTGCCAGTTACATAGTATTTGCAGACAAGAGAAATTTTGAAAAAAGGTTTTTTTCCCATATGTTTTACTAGCAAATTCTAGAACAGTCTCATGACTTTTGTCAGGGGAGTGTACATGCAGGCTGCTATACACAAAGGTAATAAAACGTATATATAGGATTACCCGTATATGGAAAATTATAATTATAGTGGTTTAACTGAATATGAAAAGGCCATGCGTTTCTTGGAGATAGGTTGTAAATGTGGTTGCTCAAAAATGTTTCTGAGAGAAAAATTTGCAAAATTACGCGGAGCGTTTCAAGCTCTCTCTAATTCCGAACAAGATATATTTTTAATGGCTCAACTGAAAGCAATGAATGGTGGAGAAATAACTGCCAGCCGTCGTCTTAAAAAGAAAACGCGTACTAATAAGAGAACTTTTTACTATTGAGATCGCAATACACCCTCTGTGTCACTCAATCTGTTAGGAATTGGTCGCACTCACTTCGAAAACGTCAGAAATCATCTAGCAACGAATGGTATAATGCCGCATGTTTATGGTAACATAAAACGAGTGCCTCGATGAAGCCAAAGTAACCATTGATATAACTGTTGCTACTGCCGTGAAGAATTTTCTCGAAAATGATAACACGTTGAAATTGTTAAAATCCGACGCATCTCGCAAGTTATGGCACCAATTAACGCCTTATATTCAAATTATGAGTCCACGAACGGATTTATGTGACACGTGCCAACATTTTCGCAACGGTTTACAGTATAACGCTCGTAAAGAAGAAGCAAAAAATTTATTAAAAAGGTACAAAGAACATTTAGTTAAGACTAAATTAGAGAGAAATTATTACAACAAAAATACGAAATTAGCAGAACAACAGAGGAAATTGGTAGATGAGCAGTTTATAATAAGAGATAAAGCTGATTATTGTAGCGTTGACGCAACTGCTCATTACAGTTACGATTGAGCGCAAAACGTTCACGTTTCCCATTCCGATCAACAAGTAAGCAAAATTTATTATCTCAGTCCGCGTAAAGTACATTTATTTGGTATCCAAGATGAAGCAGTACGCGAACAAATTAATTACATTCTTGATGAAGACGAAATTATCGGCAAAGGTCCTAATGGTATGCTGAGCATGGTATTCGATGGAATTAAACGATTGAATAAAGGTGAAAAACATTTAAAGATTACTTGCGATAATGCGGGAGGATAGAATAAAAACAATGTCGCTATTTGATTTTACCTGGATTTAGTAATTTGCGGCTATTATGAAAGTATCGAATTAAATTTTATGGTACCGGGACATACTAAATTCAAATGTGATGGTAGTTTTGGATTAATAAAAAAAACTATACCGAAAAACGACAGTAAATTGTGTAGATTATATCGTTGAGGTTGTGAAAAAATCGAGCACCGCGGAATTAAACAAGGCTCAACGCTATGACAACGGATAAGGTTTTCAGTACTTAGATCTTAATTCTGTATTGGGAAATTTTCTTTAAAAAATTGAACGGTTTACAAAAATATCAGTTTGAAGCAACTCATCCAGAAATCGTCAAAGCTCAGCTGGTTGTTAATGGTTCGTATACTGAATTTAATTTATTGAAAACCAGAAAAGCAAGTGTTTCCGAAATTACCAAAGAAAGTAAATTTTTTTCTATTTTAGTTCTAACTCCGCCTCCTTTGGATTACAAAAGACAAGAATATCTCTATTATAATAGTCGCCCATTGAATTCAAGAATATTACTTGTCCCAAACCAATCTATACTGACAATGAATAAAAATATTTCAGCCAACTGCAAATTTTATTACTTTATTAACTTCATTGGTTTTTGTTTGTTTTATTAGATTTTTTATATTTAATCTTTTAATATTAATTAAAATAATAATATAGAAATTAAAATCATAAACCAAAACAATATTTTAATCGAAGAGGAAATAAAAGAACTAATTGATAGTTTAAACCGAAATCCAAATGAAGCAGAGATAAGAGCAGTTAAAGATTACTTTTGACTTCGTCCCCAACGTTTACAGTATAATATTTAGGAGATGAAGGATTTAAAGAAAGTTTGGTTCGCCTTATTTATTTGCATCACAATGCAATGTCTTGGTGAGTGAAATCTAATGAAGAAGTTAAAGGTTTACAATCCTTAACAACTAATTTAGAGCAAGAGAGAAATGAATTGCTTGAAATAAATAAGCAATTGGAAGTAAAGTTAGAAGAAAAAAATAACAGAATAGAAGAATTGGAAGAGAGAGTAGCAATAGAACAGGAAATGTCTATGAAAGCACTAGATAAAGCTGAAGAATGGCATGATAATGAGCGAAAAAACTTTGAAATAGCTATGCAAAAGGATGTTTTTATATTTAAGCAGCAATAGACAATAGAAAAATTGAGAAAGGATTTAGACGCCAGGGATGAAAAAATAGCCAAATTAACTAAACCTAAGAAGTTTCAGCAACTCCAAAAGTTAGCAAATAAAACTAAGGAAAAAATTGGCACAAAAGTTAATGTAATTAAAGAAAGTGTTAAGGAAAAAGAACAAAAATTCCAAGCCTACATCTTACAACAGTTTGAAACACATGTTTAAAAAAACAATAATTATGAAATTGGAATATAGAATTCTTAAGGTAGCAGAAGGAGATAAACAAGATTGTAATTATTGCTCGTTCAGTTTTCGAGATTTTCGTTTTAAAGACAATCTTACTCTCAATATTGCTACTCGCCAAGTAGCAGATTCAAAGATAATAATGATTATGCTGACGTAGCTTCTATTGTGCTGATTGTAAAAAGTATTTTGAAAATAATATTCTTCCTTACTGTGAACTTTGTGGTAGCTAAAGAGAAATAGGAAAGGTTGCTTTTGTAATCTGTTAGAGAATAAACCAATACAATCACTTTCTATGGAAGAAATAACATCTAGAACTTTTGGTTATTGTTTGGAAAAGAAAACTAGAGAACTAGAAAAGAACTATCTACTACCAAAGAAGAGTTAAACATTGAAAGAGAAGAAGTAGTTAAATTTCATGAAAAATCCAAAGAATGAGGTAATGAGAAAATAATATTACTGTATGTCACATAATACAATGTTCACTTTGTCTGGTTTTGTTGCAGTCTGCCCCAAATTTAAGCCTGGGCGATTTTGTCAACCAAATGATGTCAATCTTTCTTCCAGCTGCTATGGTCCTCAGCATCATTTTTTCTTAGATCACAATCCTCTGCTGAGGCAAACAAACACACCTCGCTCCTCCCCAGTCAAATGAGTTTGCACTATTAAACACAGAACAAAGTTAGCAGAAAAATCAATGTCACATACTTTTCATTTAAAGAAAAATCCTACAGTTGATAAGCAAAATCCCATAGTAATAGAAACTCCATCTCACTGCCTCTGGTTGGCAAAAACTTGTCATTCACTGCCTTGCAAAAGTCAGGTGCCTACAGTGAAAGATGTGTTGATCAACTCACTCCAAAATACACTTAACAAAATAGCTAAGTGTTTCATCACAAGCATACCATAACCATTTCTATAGCCAATGTCTTGATATTGTCATTGTCAATTTTGGGCAGTGGCTGTCCAAATCTTCTCATTATTAATTATATATTAATATTAATATTAATATGGTATCCTTTTACCTGTTTTTCAATAACAAGCTTGCAATGTATTTTCATTGAGCTAACTAAATTAATTAGAACTATATCAGGAATTTTCTTCCACTCTTCCTTCATATCCCAACATTTGGTAATAATGTCTACATATACATACAGTTTGCATCCATTATTTCAGAAAGCAAAACAGTGAAGTTTTGCCTTTTATATTTTATACAAAAGCCACCCCATGTACACTCACTGGACAAAAGTCTACGTAATTTTTGTCGATCACATAGTAAAACATATGAAAAATCTATTTTTTC